CATTAAAAAATTTAAGTAAAAGGACAAAGTGTAGTTTGATTATTTTACTATTATAATATTGTTAACAACTAATTTTTTTATGTTATTTTATAGATATCTTTTTATTGATTATCTTGTAAAGATTTTCTTATAGGATATAGGATAATGTAATCATATTTTGATTTGTTTTTTAGTACGAATGAGTTAGTGAAATTTTGGTCGATATTGGAGTAACACTATATTAAATTCATATAAAAAAAATAAAAAACAATGAACTTGAGCTTAATTGACATTTATAAGTTAAAATATCAAATTTTTCAAGAAAAAAAAATTATCAATTTTTTTCAAGAAAAAAAAAATTATATCATATTTCAACTTATAAATGTCAATTGAGGTGCCTATGTATCCATCAGGTTGGGAATCAAAGTCCACGTAGTTCTTTTAATTTACTTACCTTCAAACGAGTGGCAGTCTCTAATAGTCGTACTCGTCTTTGACCGTACCAGTACCGCTCGTCGTACTCGTAAAATCAAATGCGTCATCGTCGTCGTCGTCATCGTCCGCTCCAGCATCATCAGTGAGCATAGCCATTTGCGTCCTTCGTTCGGCCTTCTTCCAATCCATCAACAACTTTTGTGCTTGTAGATTTTTGGGCGTCAGCCTCAACCGTCGTGCGTCTAGCATGTAACCTCCCTCACTGAATGCTTGATCGACCGCAGTAGATGCTGACGACAAAAATCTCTTCGGCCATCAAACATGGAATATGATAAACGTCTTACATTCTTGACCACCAATCAAAAAAATCGAAGTTGAGTGGCGGAATTGGTTCATGCGCAATCGTAAGTATCAAATTCGACGTAAGGTAGTGATCCAACTCATAATATCCAGTCCCATTTGCCATTTGGGGGTCAACATTCTTGTAGGGATTTTTTTATGCTCACTACTCCTTGTAGTTTGTAGCGCTTACTCGATTCCCTCCGTAAGAAGAAAACTTGGTGCCGCTGTCGCCAACAAATGAGCTAGGATGCTCTCCTTGTGCGATCGTTGTTTTCCTAAATATATCATACAACAAAACTTTTGCTTGTTCGACGAGCTGCTGAATGTTAGGTTTTTTACAGTATGTTTCCACATCAGTCGGCAATGGGAGTTCATCTTATAATTATAATACATGTTAAGATTATCTATCAATTCAACTTCACGTGCTGTAGGATCTAACAAACATGCAACTAAAAATGTATGAAATATATATTAATAATATTTTAACCATTTCTTTAACATTTCATGTACTAAATCTGTATATTTAAAAAAAATCCACTTTGTAAAGATCAGAGAAAACCCACATGATGGCTATATATTGACTTAATACAAGTTTAGCAGCATGATAGTAAACACTCGAACGCATGGCAGTAGCATTTTGAAATGTTTCTAAAAAACTAATAAGTACCTTACAATTCTCTCAATCTATTGTGGAGACTCGGATGTCACAGTCCATACGGTTTGGATCGTTAAAAAAGTTCCCAATTGCGCCATAAAAGGAACCTTGTCATTCAACATTTATATGTTGAGGTCCATCGGTTAGGAACGTCCGGTTGAAGTTTTTTAGGTTTCAACCCTTGATTTTTACAAAATCGTCCCCATGCTTTCATTTCTTGGGGACGTTTATGTAGCGTCCCCAATTGGCGTGACCAAATCTTCAAAAGCATGATAACCAACTTGTACACAGAGATTTAAGACATGACATATACAACGAATATGAAAAAATCTTCCCCCACAAATGGGTGTGCAAATATCAAGTTCACGTATAGATGCAGTATTGACAGTATCATTATCAAAAGAAATGGAAAACACTTTTTTACCAATTTTATATGTATTCAAAAATTTTGAAATTAAACGAGCAATATTAGAGGCAGTGTGACATTCATGAAATGCAACGTAAACGATTAAACATTTTTACAAACTCCAACTTTCATCTATCCAATGACAAGTTATTATCAAATAGTAGTTATTTTGCCAATGATCGGACCATATACCAGCACAAATGAATACTCTATGGTTTAAGATCTATAGGTTTCTTGCAAAATTATTTTTTTTCACTAACTATTTTTCGAATATCGGGAGTAAGAGTAGTACGTGGAACCCGAGTGGCAGCCGAATTCAAAGTCATTTGAGCAAAACGTGCATATAAATCACTATCACCAAAACTAAATGGAAGAGATGAAGCATAAAAAAAATCAGCTAAATGACGTCTATGATTTTCATGCGAGTAATGAAAAAAAGATGGCGTACCTGTACCATTCGTGGTAGATGCAGAGGTGCTACTGGGGAATTGCATCTGTGCCGTGTCAATTCCCAACTTTGTCGGATGGCCGCTCTTTAGGTGTCGAGTCAAGGATCCATACCCGTTGCCTTTTTTTGAAATGATACATCTTCCTGCAATTGGACGGACAATAGTTGCAAACACCAAAAACGTGATTCTCACCTCTTTCCGGATTTAGAGTCTGTGTGTCGTTCGAACATGGCGGATCCCGATTAGCCACCTAGCCCACGCTCGAAGACAGAGGCTAGTTCCGGGCCGTCTGGCTGCTTCTCTTGCTCGGGCTCCGGGCTCGCTCCAAATAGATCATCCAAATGGTCGTGATACGGGTGTTAGGGTTCTTGCTGCTCAGACTGAATTGAGACAAACATGGCATTGATCATTGCGTTATCAGTATCATCGTGGACAACATGAATATCCACATGTATCGATGGACTCGCAAATTCCGGTACGTGCCGACCTTTCTCCATTTATGTCTGGAGGTCGAAGCATGACAACCACCAGGAGTAGTCGACATTTTAATTAAAAAAAATCCAGATTTTCCTTTTTTTTTTTCTTTTATGACCGT